GGACCGTGCATTTTTTTTATTCGGCGTGGACCCCCTTCTTATGAGGGGCGTGTAACTGGGGTTGACACATCCGAATACAAATAACAAAATTTTATAAAATTTGATCCAATCATTATGGGACATGAAGATTTGATGAAGTCTTATGCTTAATAGTTTTCTTGACAAATTCTCGAAGCTTATCACCTTGAGTTTAATCACCTGGGGTGTGAGATATAAGTGATTTGTATATATATGAAGGGTAGTTTGGTTTTTTCAACTGTTCCTACAATTTTGTAATTTACAAGAAACTTCCTATATGTGGTGGGTCTAGTTTTTTTCACAAAAGAAACTTCCAAAAACTTGAATTCCTACTCTCCACGGATTAACCATTAACCCCTATATGAACCTTGTTACATGTACACTATAGTGTACACTTTGTCACGTGTCATTATCGTATTAGACAGTTTAAATTTTAAATAATTCTTCATCCGATTGACACTTGACAACAATACAAGTGTCAACCGACGTAATAAAAAACAGTGTACAAAATAGCAAATTTCATATATATATACACTTACATTATAGGAACTGTATCTCATGCAGTCATCAATTCTCTCTCTCTCTCTCCCCCCAATTGCAAGACTTCTAAGCTTCTTAGTTTTTACCATAAATCTTGAATATGGAGTACATCCATTGGCGGGGAGTGATCTCACAGCAATCTATACACACAGAACCAGGTCTTGATGATCAGTACTCGCCATCAAAAGTGCATATTCTCGTCGAATTTCAATGTGAAACTGTTAAAAAGTGGGCAATACATTGTGACGATGGAGAACTTCTATTTTATAGAAGCGAATCAGATCAAGAAGCAGCGATGACCAGACAAACTTGTCTTGATTATGCCGCAACCGACCAGGATTTGAAACTACTTCTCTTGGAAAAACTCGAAATTTACAGCCTGAGAGATGATCAGAACTGTAAAGAAAAACTTGCTGATAAAGTAATTAAGCAAGCAAGAAAATTAGGTCGCGTGGGCCGAGAAAAATCTTCTTCACTACTTGTTAATATTGTTGGAATTTTGTATCGAAAATTGGTTGCGACCAATTTTAAATGATATTTAAGTGGAATTTTTATTTGGTGAATGAGAAATTAAGCCAAATATAAAGCCGCTTAATACTTGAAATTATTGAAAAATTGTATAAAATATTGTGGAATATTCTAGAAATATATAGATGAAAATATGTGTTTTTTCATAAGGAGGATCGTGACTCTTGGGATGGGTATGATTAATTTTTTATAATTATGAATTTCAAGAGATGTGTCTCTTGGTATGGTTGTGTCTTTTGACAAACATTTCCAACTACTATATATAGATCCCGTATGAATTTCATTCATTCAAGAAAAGTCATAAATACCATATCATTTCATTCCAATTTACAATTTGGTTTTGCATAAAACATTTGCATCAAAGTCATAGTCATGGTAAAGAGAGAATTCCTTTCAAATTCCCTGACTTCGAGCGCTCCTATGGCTCGACGTAGTCATTGTATCTTGGGAGATGTTTGCCGAAGAACCGTTAGCACCGATGCGGGGCAAATTCATCTTAAGGACAAAGTGTCTAACACTTGCCTAGACCAAAAATCCGTCATTTGCATCTTCTTTCTTCATTTTCTGATTCATTTTATTATGATTTGATTTCAAAAAATGATTAACATTATTTATATGTTTATCCTGCAAGGTTTGATCCAAAGAATTGATTGCTTTCGATCATGAGTCAAAAGGGAATAATTCATATTCAGGTATTCGAATTCGATAAATTCTTATTTTGTCTTCTTAAACCCTATCTCAGTAAGTCGAAATTATATTTCGATTTCACGCATACTAACAGTATGTTTTTATGAATATATTATGCTCAATTATTGATTTAATTCTTCAACAATTTTAAGATGAATTTTGGTGCTTGTTGTGCATTTTATATTGTATGTAGAATCTGCCAAAATTGATGCAAAATCGTTAAATTCCGGGTAGTTTATTCCGTTCATAACAGTAAATCAATTTCATGTCAAGTGTGTACTTGGGCACTTCTTTATTAATTTTGCATGAAAAAAAATGGACCTATTAGTGTGCACGTGTCCATTGAATTCTGGGAAAAGTTTTCATATATGCTACAAGTGCATGTGACTATTCAATTCTAGATGAAAAAGAGATGGCTGTTAGCGCATGTCTCTGATTTTAAAATGGTTTGGCCGGTGATTGTTGTATGTTTTGTTTGCCAATTTTATATTTGTATAAACTATGAAGTCTATGCATGGCTGGAATTAAAAAAAAAATGTTAATTGGTATGTGTATGAAATTGGATTTAAAAGTTTTGTTATTGCATGAAGACTCATGCTTGAATCCTTAAGTTATGTTTGTGATTTAATTGTATATATTATATCATTTTTGACGATTTCATTTGTCGGTTTATTGCTGGCACTTTTTAATCAAAAGGGGTTTATTTGGCCAGTAAGATTCTGTAAATCATTTTGAATTGTTTTCTATATCGTGAAGATAAGTAAGAATTTGGTACTAAATCAATTTTTGCCATAAAGTAATTATACACAAAAAGGTTGGCGGTAATGTTTGAGAATTACCACAGAAAAGTATCATGTTTTCGGTCCTTGAAATTTGGACATAATTGATATTGTTTTATTACTGTCCATAATGATTTTTAATGTCCAGGAATTCATTATACACGAATTTCCATATTGTCTTTATGTTCCTAACCGAAAAATTGGAAATGAATGTTTATGTTTATTGTCTTTATGTTTAATGAAATAAAGATTCATTAAATATATGCAATTCATATTGGAAATTAATTTCTGACCATATGATGACCCATTGTATATTTTGTAACTGCCATGGGAAGAAATGTTTGGAATAATGTGACCTTTCATTTTAAATGCAATGACAACAATTTTGTGGTGACTTTTAATTGGAAAGCATGAATTGGCGAATTGGCGTATGACAGTTTTATTTGGTGCTAAATTCCTTAAAGAGTTGTATCGCTAATTTTTTATTGGAATAAAATACAAAATTGGATATGGAATGCGACATTATAATATCATTTGTATAAACGTGAATTCCAAATAGTGAATTCATTTGGTGAATCCATACAAGAGTTTAGATTTTCGAGACTTTTTGGTCAGTATATGCAAAATCGATAAATGCATATACAGTACGATATAAATACGGTAAGTAGCAAATATGGTAGGCTGCAAATACAGTAAGCTATATATACGATAAGTAGCAAATAGGTAAAATGCAAATACGGTAAGCCGCATATATGATAAGTGGCATATACGGTAAGCCGCATATACAGTAAGTTGCATATACGGTATCCGTCAATCCGATAAGTGACATATACGGTATAAAATTGTAAATCCGGTATATGTCCATGGACTTTGGTTTGAAAATTATACAAATCTTGATTAATAATGATAGACTCAATTAATTCTATGAAATTAAATGAGATGATTTATGCAAAATCATAGTTGCATAAGAGTATGACAGATGTGGTTTTGTCCTAATTATTTTAAAGTAAAAATTGTTTGCCCAATTATTGGGATATGAAAATATTTTATAGAGCACAAATAGTATCTATAGTTGACGGTGGTGCCGGATATCCTTGAAAATAATGATTGTAAAATGACATTCATTTGTAAACGATAAAAACTATGCAAAAATTGTGAAAAATATTATGAATATTCTAGGATTAATTCCAAGAGGTATGTCCTTTTGTAAGGTTGTGACTTTGAAATCACAACTTGTCAATCTATGGTTGATTTATTTTTTCAAATGTGAATATGGTGAATAAGGTAAAATGTACCTTATTATTTGATGTGAATAATATTATTTGTGAAATGTCACAAATGTGAAAGTTATATATGGTTGAAGATGCTTAGTCTTATTCATTATTGAATTTGACTTCAATCGTGGAACCAACTAAGTTGGTTTATGTTTGGAAAAATATTGTTGGTATAGTGATGATCAAATTAATATAGTTGATTGAATTACAATTTTGAATAGAAAATGATTTCTCATTCACGTGAAGCAACGACCACTATTTTGAAAGTACTTAGACTTTCACCAAACATTCGATTCGGATATTATCTAAGTGATAAACGGATTGAACTATGAAAGAGTTAAAAAACTCTAAGTTTTAGAATAATCCAAAAATGTGGGGGTTATCATGAATGCTTGAGAACTTATGTAAAAAGTTCAAGTCATGTGGGTACAACGCTACTACTTGGATATATAACCCTAAATTAGGAATTGTGGGGGTAAATTAGTTTAAAATTACACTTTCATGCGCCTCTCAAGAAAATGGAAGAGACACC